TTTATTGTGTTAGTTTGATTTGCACTCCATTGTACATAAGTTTATTTAAAAAATCCGGATTTTGAGTTGTACTCAGAGGTAAGCCCTATTTTCTGAATTCTTCTGAATTTTTAACTTTTTCCCAATACAGAGTGTGTCGAAAACTGAGGGTCACTAGTTCGAATCTCGGAATTTCCAAATGTAAACATATGTCATGTTATACATAATTTTAAAGGTATTTGATAGACAAACATATTGGCGAAAGCAGAAATGAATTATCTTTTTCCGTTTCAAAATGGCGGAAGTTTTTTTTGAAAAAATCTATATTTTTTTAATATTCAGTGTTTCCTATACCAATGCATCTAGCCCTTCTTCGGTACTCGTTATGAAATAAGCTTTACTTTGATATGCTTCAAGTAACAGTTTTTTGAAATGATAAAAATAAAAAAAATAAATATTTTTAAAAGTTTGTAATAATTGTTCAAAATTTTCAAATAGCAACGTATGTCAAGTGGCACATCATTTTATAGTTTATCCACACCAGGGAGCATCGCATCGACCGTACATGCCTATAAATATCCACAATTCGTATAAAAGGGGGGACATAACCGTATATATATCATTATTATAGATATTTTTTAGGTTAATATAAATAAAATGTATGCTTAGAACATAATAAACTCTTTAATTGTATATTACCCTTATACATGGGTCCAAAACGTTTAATTTGAGACATAAATAAGGCCTTTTGGACAATTACTTCAAAAGATACAGCAAGAAATCTATATTTCCAAGATGGCGGCAGTTTTTTCAAGATGGCGGCCGTTCCCCAACTGGGATTTCTTGGGACTTTGTGTGGGCCACTCAGGACATTGTTTTGAACATTTCCACCAATTTTCAGCCTGTTATCAATTTTGTCCGGGTCATAACCTAATTGCACTGGACTAAAACTAAAATATACTTTTTCCAATTCTTAACATATGGAAGAACTAAATGACTACGTCATCATATGGATGAGGTAGATCAGCATTCTGTGTTTACCCACCACAAAAAAAAATTTAATGTCACGGAATAAATAGTAACTGTAAAATGTTTATCGTAAATGAAATTAAAGGTTTTTTTGTGTCAATGATGCAGTGATGACAAGTATATTAAACACGTTTTTTTATTCAGAGATTGTTTTAAAACCCCTGTTGTTTATATACATTGTGTTCAATAATTTAAAGAAAGTTTTATTTTTATTATTTTTATTTCGGACTCACAGCTCTATTAAATACTATAGTCAAGACCTTTATAGCTGTTTTTTTGGATTATTCATTTTTTATTAGGATTGATCATGAATGGATAGTCATTTTATTGTCACAGTGTTACATGTGATTTCGAAAAATATACAGTAATTTATAACCTACTTCTATAAAATTGTTCAAGAAGCTGCATGAATTGGCAAGGACCAGCAAACTCAAAATCTTTAAAAACAAGGTAACTGCTTGGCTTTAAGACAATCCTTTTATGATGTATATGAATATGTCAATCCATGTGTAGAAATTAGGTTTTAGTTGTATAGATTTATGACCATCAGTTTTAATTGTATTAATTGTGTTTCAATACCAATTACATGCAAATAAACTATTTTATTTCATATAAGAGAATACATAGCTAAAACGAATATGAAGCTTTAATAATTAACAATTACAAATATCATTTAAAGGATTAAAAAAAAAAAAAATCATTTTTATGTCACAAAAACCACAAGATTTTCAAAATAACCAATAAAACTCTAATCCTATAATTAAATGCGTAATTTAATTTGGTCCACCTGAATCCTGTAGGCTGGAAACTATCATTAACTAAATCTGATTTTCCTGAGGTAACATTTGCATTTGCTCAAAAATAATGTTAATAACCTCTATCAAACACTATTAGATCCATACAATGTTTGAAAATTACTTACAATGTTACCTGTAGTTAAATGTCGAAATGACAGCAGAATATACCATTATCCCCCATGAACCTAAGACTGCAGTAAAAGGCTAATAGCTTGAGCGATAACCTTAACACGTTTATAGGCAATATTGCGTCGTGGAACTGTGTATTTAGGGACAATCATTTGCTAAAATGTCCCTTGTAATTAATAGGCTTTGACGCAGTCAAGATCAACTATCACGATGTATAATGAAACAATATTGCATTGTTATTGATGGTGTGAATGAATTTGATATATTTACAGAATTATTTGCTGTTTGCAGAATCTCAATTTAAAAGAAAACTCTATTTCTTGTCAAGTTTTATCAATTTTCGGGGAAAATCACGACAATTGTGAACGTCTGAAATTGCATGAATAGTCACTCACTATAAATGATGGAAACTAGAAAATTCCCTGATATTGCTGGGGTTCTGTGAAAAATCGACAAAAAACCACGGTTTGTTCGACAAAACTTTGCTATATGGAAGCCGCATGTTTGTGGTCTACAAACTTTGCAGTGAAATGTGATGAAACCTAACGAGTGGTTGAGTTAACTTAAGTTAAACTTAAGATTTTTCTTTTGAGGATAATATTTGTGTTGATCACTCTAGCATCAATTGATAAGTTATTGGATTTTAAACAATATACTAGTCCTTATGGTTACTGGTCCTTATGGTACGCTTATGCGTTATTAACTTAGTCTTAATTCGCTTACAACCATTGAGACAACCGTCCACGAATCTTTGAAGCATGTGTAGAACCATAGATAAAACAAGTTAAGTCTTATGCTAAAAAACCCTCTTAGCTCGACAAGTCGTCTAGTAAGTGTCCAGGAAATTTCCAATTCTGTTGCTTACACTGAACCTTAGTATTCTATATGAACCTTCTTACTTTTATATCTTACATTACTATGTGATATAGAATTTATTTATTTTTAAAATTTAGTTTATTTAGTTAATTGGTGGCTGAAAGTTACGTTTTGCTGACCATGCCAGCTGTCATCGTCATTTGGGGACCGAGCTGGTTTTTACATCCCTAGGGCCGCAAAATCAGCTGGCCACTTACTTTCTTAAAACATGAATTCAGGTACACAATCAGTATCCATAGCATTGCAATAGAATTGTTTTATTGTCACGGCTGCCTAGCAACTGTTTATTATTATTTTTGCTGATTCCTCAAATTATTTTTTCACATGTTGACAGTGTGCATTATTATTGTGGTGTGGTGAAAAGTGGTAATAGTGGTAAAGTTTGGTGAAAAATAGCGTTCATACCACGGACCGAAATGGTTTTGCAGCTCTCGATTGTATTAAGTTCTCGATTCCGTCTCGAACTGAAAAACCATCTCGAGCCGGCAAAATCTCATTTTCGGCCCTAGGTACGAAATATTACGCTATTGTTTACTTACTTTACAGCTCTAGTGAGGTAAAGTAACGGAAAAATGTTCTAGAGCCAACTTATCAGCTGGTAAACGCCCAATTATATTGTTTATCTGCCGAATTCCAATGGAAACTCACCCATTATTTTATTAACCTGAAATTGAAATAAACTATTTAATAACAACGGGTATTTAGGAGAAAGATTTATTGAAAGGTTTTGAAAATTTTAGAGACTACATAGAAATAAGGACTCAAACTTTTTGTAATAATCTTTTACCACATAAATCAAAGAGACGTTACGATAAAACGGTACTATTGCAAAAATATTTTATAATTATTTTTAAATAATAATGATAATAATTAAAAAATACTTTATTTTTGTTCTTAATGTTGTCAATAAACGGTGGCAATACATTTAAGTATTATCAAGGCAGTGAAGTATTATCATTAACGGAAAGAGTATAGGCCTAGGTAATAAAGAATAGGTTATGAAGATAGGTAATGAAAGAGTATTTGTAATTACAAACATAGTTTAAATACCCCCGCCGCAGCAAACCTGCAGACTAAGCGAATTTCCATTTGCCTGTTTGGATTTACACTAAAATGTCTACTTAAAAATACAGTAGAACCTTGATAACAAAAGACTCTCATGGGGATTGTTAAATAAGACTTGTTATCAAGGTTGACTTCTTATCGAGGTTTGTAATAACATGTGATGTGTGGGGTAAAATAATGTTAAGGGTTTTTGAAAATGACACTTGTTATCAAGGGCGACTTGTTATCGAGGGTCTTCTTATCAAGGTTCCACTGTATAACATTTATTCCCTATTTAAATATAATTAGTTAAACAAGTACTTAGGTTTGCGCTGCATCAGGGAAGGTAAAACTTTTTTTGTAAAATGTTAATGGTTAAGAAATAAAACATTTGATCAAAATATGTTTATAAACAAGCAAACTAGCCTACAACAGTTTACTTATTAAATAACTTCTTGATCAGCATTGTACGTGTTATTAAATTTACGGAAAGTAAATAAAAGAAACGTCTTATAACACTTAAAACATATATTTACGCTTATACTGTTACTCACAAGACGGTAAATATACAAAAACGATGGTAAGTGGTGATCGATTTCGATTGGACACTCCAATCATCATCAGACCCAATAGGCGAATGACATTCGCCTATGTCATTCGCCTATTGGGTCTGATGATTATTGGAGTGTCCAATCGAAATCGATCACCACTTACCATCGTTTTTGTATATTTACCGTCTTGTGAGTAACAGTATAAGCGTAAATATATGTTTCAAGTGTTATAAGACGTTTCTTTTATTTACTTTCCGTAGTTTACTTAATATTTAAAACTCTATCATTTATTTTTAATATGTATCATATGACTGGATTAATTTCATATTGTAAATAATTCAATAACGGCTAAGTGCTAAGAACATAGTGATATATTTCGAGTCACGAAAGGCCTGAGGCAAGGGTGTGGTTTATCGCCAACGCTGTTTAAACTTTATCTTATTGGCATTTTAAGAAATTGGCAAAGGAGGTGTGAGCCTATGGGAGTACAACTAGAAGAAAGTCGTTTGTTCACCTTGTATTTTGCGGACGATCAGGTGGTTTTGGCGGAGGATAGAGAGAATTGAAAGAAGAATACGAGTTAAATGGACTGGTAATGAATGTGGGGAAGTGTGAGTATCTGGTGGTTGGGAGCGACATAGTGGAGAACCTGCCTTTAGAAGATGGAGAAGTCAAGGGGGTCAGAAGAGCTAAATATTTAGGAGTGATATTTGACAAGTCTGGAAGCAGTGTTGTGGAAATTGAGGAGAGGATTCAGAAGGAAAGGAAAGTGACAAGGGCTTTTAATTTTGTTTGGTGGGATAGGGGTGTGTCAAAGAAAACAAAGAAGAGGATTTATAAGTCTATGGTGCAGAGTGTGGTATTGTATGGCTTGGAAGTCTGGGAGTTGAAACAAAGGAACACTGGGAAGTTGTTGGCTACGGAGATGGATGTACTCAGGAGGAGTTGTAGGAAGACAAGATTGGACAGGGTGAGGAACGAAGATATTAGAAGAGAAATGGAAGTGGAAGGAGACATAATAGATGAGGTTCAAAGAAAACAGTTGGTCTGGTTCGGCTATATAAATAGGATGGAGGAGGGTCGGCTCCCACGGCAGGTTATGAACTGGGTTCCACCTTGGAGGAAAAAGAGAGGACGACCCAGGCGCAGTTGGCGGATGGGGATTCAGGAGGCAATGGCGACGAGAGGCCTTGAGATTGGCGACTGTGCCGATAGACAGCTTTGGAAGCTGGGAGCGGAGAGACGGCGCGAGCTGTAGAGATCCGCAACAAGTAACAAGTAAGTAATTAATTAAATGTTTACTTTTCATTATAAACAAATAAACATGATTCAATAGTTGTGTTCATATATTTTGTATGAATTTATACTTAATACGCATAATAACCCTTCAATATACTAAATTATTTATTCCTTTAAACCCTACAAAATGGTTTGGAAAGAAATTGCTAAATTTTTTGTTTTTTATTTAAATATGGGAAAAACCTATTTTTACCCCATAAAACCCCCTGTAAACCCCTGTTCCCATAGTCCGATCATGCTGGTTCGCGAACTCGTTTGAATAAAAGTATCTAGGCCTGTACCAAATTTCATCAAAATTATATCATTTTTGCTTGAGTTATCATGCTAACGGACACATTGTATATATTTAAATATATATATATATGAATTTGAATGGATGGTGTTTTTGGCCTCTAGGGGCCTCAAAACGAAAAAAAAATCAGTCCCACGTCCAGGTTTTATCATGAGTACTACGGTAATAGGTTATTCCCTATTTGGGAAATTCGCTAAAACACTCTAAATTAGTTTCCTTTTAGCAGCAAACCTAGGTAGGCTACTCGTAAAACCTAATGTTATCTAAACAGATTTAATTGAAAATCAATTCAGACAATGGAAATTCACATTTTGTAATACAATTAATTCTGGTCATGTCTTACAAAATCATAAGGGTTTGCTCCAAAAATAAATTACAAGAGAAAATAGCGCATCTCAAGTAGTTCTTAAAATTGTATTTTATAGGCTATTGCAATTATATTTTATTTCATTTTCTGTGAGTTGCTGTAGTTGAATTATTTTAATGTGCAATCAAATATTAATTTCTTAATAATTTTGTTTTCCAAAAGTTGCTCGCCAAAAAGCAGAACTGTTCAAGAAAGAGAGGGGGAAGAAAGTACAAAAAATTATCCTACGGCTGAAATTTCAAATACAGAAACTTTATGGTTTCTATGGAGCTATAGTGTTCTCTACATTACTTACTGTACAACACCATGATGGAAGGAAAATTAGTATATGTATTTGTTTTGATTTGGTTGTTATTGTTTTTATAATGTGTGTTTTTATAAAAAAAAACTATAACAATCAAATCAAAACAAATACATACTAATTTGACAGTTACAATCAGGCGATCTTTTCTTTGAAATCCAAGTGACGTCAGAATATGACGGGATAGCACACCTATGTACAACTACTTACGACGTTGCCACTTCGAAGGGTGCGGCCTGGGGCCAATCTAGGAGGATTTAATCCTCCTAGGGGCCAATTTCATAATAAACTACATGTTACAAGCTACTACTTGTAACTTGTAATTTCATTATCAGCTGATTCACTATTAATATTAGTTTGAAGTTTATTGTGGAATAGGCCCCTGGAGTTAAAGGCGGCCGTGAATACTACCCCTTGGAAAACCACCCCCCAAGGTGAAACATGACGTCACTAAATCTTCCAACTAACCAATATAGGAGCCGTATCCGCAACTAGAATACTACCATATACTACCCTCCTAGCAAAATGTGATGCCATGTAATTGTAATCTTAATTCTACATGTAGTAATTCCGTTTGGTAACGGAAAAGGCATGTGAGGAAAAACAAACAGAATTTTGAAATGTTACTGCAAGTTTGGGTGGTTGTGTTGTTAGCTTAAACAGTTTGACAACGGAACTAGAATGTTCGTGGCTGGAAAACTGCCCCCCCGGATATCACTGACGTCAACATGACGTAGAAACCTGCTTGGAAGGGGTGAGGTAGTTTTCCGCGGGAAGGCAATCTTCCGGCGACCCCATATTACCATTGACTAATACTTTACCTTTTAGACTAACCTACACAAGTAAAAATGTAGACTTCTCAATCCACTGTAAAATCTGAAACATAGCACTACCATATGATGGTCCCGACTAACAACTAACAAAGTAGATTTTTCATCCTATTGAAAATAAGAAGCTTGATTTGTCAATTGGTGCGTTCATGTTTGTGATTTTGAGAAGACATTAAAATATTTTCTTCTTGAGATTTTAGGGTTGATATTTCGAATTTGTTAAACAAGTATTTATTTATTTACACCCTTTTCTATTCTAGTAAATTCCATGACAACATAACATGAATTAATATTGAATTAGAAACGATTTTGAAGGTCAATTTGGATGAATTCTGTAGAGCCTGGAGCCTTTACTCTTCTCAAGGAGATTACTACCAGGAAATTTGGATGGTTTTCTGTTACTTTTTGACAAAACTATGTATAAAGGCTGACGTAATAAGCGTATTATTATTTTTAAGCTCTTTAAAAAGGTCTAGAGAGAAATTGGAAAATTTTGTGTTTTGAGGGTAAAAAATTAGAAAACCCATTTTTACCCCATAAAACCCCGTTCCCTACATGTTCCGATCATGCTGGTTCGCAAACTCATTTAAGTTTATCTGGCCTTACACCTTTAAACCAAATTTAATCAAAATTACATAAATTACTCAAGCTATCACGTTCACGTACGTGCATATATATGTTTATATATAAATTTGAACGAATGGTGTTTTTGCCCTCTGGGGACATAAAAATGAAAAAGTAAATCGGTCCCGGGCCTAGGTCTTCTTACCGTGCCACCTACGGTAATGTATAGCTACTTTCCCATAGGGAAATTCGCTAAAGTGGGAGGGGAGGGTGAGGAAAGCGTAAGAGAGAGAATCAGGGACTTTTGGGAAGACACAAATCTCAATATGATCTAACAGCATAGAAAAATTCAGCTTTCCCCTAATTACTTCTGACATCTGCCTTACCTTTATTGACCAGGCTAAATACGCAGACAATTAATTAAACCTTTATTTAACTTTAATTTAGAATCAACAGATCAAACATTTATGTCTTAAATATAATAGTAGATGTTTAAATTAACACATTATTTCAGTAATTAGGAATATCTAACTGACAATAGGTTTACTAAAACAAATTGTATTGTAGTTAAATTTTTGTGTGTTTTTGGTCTATTCTAAACTCTGCTTGAAGAACTGTAATGCTAATAGATTAGCACCTGATAACACTAGAAAGTATTCCATAGAGTTAAATTTGAAACCTAAGAAAGCTGCAATGTGATACACTCCAGTTAGTCCTCCATACAATATGTCATCCTTCTTGTAAGCTGAGAAACCAACTGAAATAGAATTCCAAATGACACTCAGGTCAACTAGATCTTGAGGAACATTTTTCTTGAGAACTTCAGTAAGTACAACATAAGCGATTGGGAATACGAGGTGGCAATAAGAAAACTTTTCTTCAAAACCTGCAAACAGAATAGCTTCTGCTGCAACAAGTGGTGTGTAGCACGGCATTGAAACTCTATCCACAAACGCAAGTGCTTTCTTCACTTTTTCATTGCTTCTGGGCAATCCTGAAACATATAAACCCTTTAATAAAATGATACATAAAATAGAAATCCATAATGCAAGAAAGAAATTAGGAACACACACCTTTAGATTGCCTGGTATCGTAATACGCAGGCAGAGCCATTCTTTCCCAAGCTGTTTCATGTTTTGAAAACTTTTCAATTAAAGTTGACTCTCTCTTTCTTATCTTATCTCTCTTCTTTTTACTAGATATCTGTTGAACCTATGTCTACAATCAGCAGAACTGACATATCTTTTACCAGACAATTTTTATAAGTAGGCCTACATTGGTTTAACAGCGGCATTAATGAAACAACTTTTCTTGTGGGTAAGACAAATTTGATCAAAAAATATCCTCAAACAAACCAACTACAACTAACAGTTTACTTTTTATTTATAAGGATAACATGGGATTTTTAAATGTATAGCCTACAGTTTTTGGGAATTATTTCTGGAACCATTGATGGTACAGATTACAAATAGGCTTGAATCTACAAAATTATTTGCTTTCTCATGCTGTAGATGATTGCTGTAATACAAATTGTTAATTCGTTTACATAAAGTGTAAACAATTTGAAATAAAAACTAAATTATGAAAACCTTTAAAAACCAAGACCTTGCTCCATAACCCGATCTTGCTGATTCCCCATATCAATCAAGTTGATGCTGCCCTACAACGCAAAATGCTACAGCTGTTCATGACAAATTTAATCAAAACTGGACCAAAATTACTCGTTGTTCACAAACACTTTCAATTTAATATGCCCATGCAGTCCAAATAAGAGCCATTAGCAATATTTCAAAGATCCACTTCATAGCCTGAGTCTAACAATTTGGCTGCCAGGAAAGAAGGCTATAGAATAGAATAACAAAGATGAAGATGAAGGTTAGAGACAAGATTATTTTCAAACCAATGTATCAAATAAACGTAATGAACAATGCCAATGCTTTCCTTACTTACCATAGTCCAAAATCCCTAATGCTCCATCCACAGCATACAATGCAAATGCAACTCTGACATATTTCAAATCCATGCACTGTGACAATGAATAACCAGAAGAAGCTAAAAGAGCCACACGGCCGATGGCTACATTCAAATCACCCATTATTTAAAATGTAACAATTAGTTCAATTTGGCGAGGTTTAGATTGTTTGAATTCAAGTATTAAAAAAAGTTAGGATAAGGAAAAGAAAACAGAATCACAATAGATTCCATAATATCATATGGCCCTATTCCAATGATTGTGATTGAACAATGTAGTGCCAATGCCTCTTGTATTTCAGTGGCGAAAATATAACACATTACTGTAATGTATACGTAAAGACAATAATTATAATGTTATAAAATCTAATTTTATGTTGCGTCATACCATAGACTAACCAGCACAATAAGACTTCAAATTCCATTGTAAATGTTGAAGCTCGTTTTTCGTGTCTAGTTCATGCCCGGTAATACTGATCGCTAGTGTCGACAACACTTTGTTTCTATCATTTTAGAGTTCATTTGATGAATTGTGCTTTAGTGTTTGGTTATATAACTAGATGGCGAGTTATTGTTTATGATTGGATCGTGTTTATGTTAAACGGGGCTTTTAAATACTGAAACAACAAGAGAC